ATTTGTATTTAGCTTGAGATTGCTGATTTTTTTCTATGAAGTGGGCTGAGTCCTTGATGTAGTGTGTAGTGATGATTGATGATTGATGGGGACATCAGACTCATTTATGGGATTCATGAATCAATTTGCAATGTTTTTGTGGAAACATCTGCTTTTTCAACTCAGAAGTGATATATTGTCACTTTTGGTTTTGAAAACAAACCCCTCAATCCCTAAAACAGGCATAGGAAATGAAGACATGTTGGTGTTTGTTTTCCCATCTCCTAGTGGTCATAATGGGCATTTATAGATTTTTTTCATAGGGTCATCGGAAATCTTGGGTGTACTCTGAACCTCTGAAAGTTTACACTTTTGGTTTCGATTCATAATGACTTCTTAAGCCCTATATGCACCTGATATTGCAGGTCGGTTAGAGAAGTTGAGATGTGTGGTACTGGGACAACATATTTTATTTATTTATTTCACGCATTTCTACCCTGCCCTTCTGAACCCCCGAGGGGGGACTCAGGGCGGCTTACAAAGGCACAGTTCGATGCCAGCATAAACATAACAATGGATAAAACATGTAAACAGCAATTATAACAATTAAGCCAATCAGTATATACATCAAAATCAATAAAAACAGTCTGTGAAAGAACATGGAAAGGGGCCTTCTCTGCTTTGTTAGCCTGGTTAAATAATGCCCCTCCATTGGAAACCCATATTGACACCAATATGGCTTCCTTCTGGGATCATGTTTAGCTTTGATTTGAGTTAAAAGTTAACTATAAGTCTACCTCCTCATGGTTGAATAGCTTGTTCTTCAAACTGAAGCTTTTCTGGCAAGAAAGGCATGCATATAAATACTGCTGTACAGGGTAACTAGGGTCATTATTAGCATCAGCTGAGCACCAGTTATTTTGCTGTGGTGAAATATTCCATGAAGTGAAAACTTATTTTCTTTTGTTGTTCTGTTTGTTAGCAACAGAAGTGAGGATTGTTTGACCCTTACCCTGTAATCAGGGCATATCGCACAGTAGCAAAAATTATGAGGAAGCAGTGAAAATTTATGAATCACTCACTAATAGGGAACGAATTCTGTTTATCATAGTAAACATTGTAAAGCCTTACAATATAATTAATCAGATCAGTCATTTAATAGCACACTTTTTATGTGTGTAATATACATTAATTATTGGAATTCACATCATTATCAAGCTAGTTTCTTTTGTCCCAAAGAAGCTAATGCATCCAAAATACTTGAGCATTATTTGATTGACAGATTTACACTTTCAGTGCAAAACCTTGACCAGCACAGTCATCACTATCCTGAGAAAAAATAATGGCGGGTTAGTATCCTGTCTGTCTTTTTAACCTTTCACTATACCATGTTCTATGGTGCAAAAAAAAAAAAGTGTTCAATTACAACCATATTGCTAATTGGTACAAAACACAGCCCACACATTTTGTCACCATGACTAACAACAAAAATATGAAACACCCTGCGAAGCCGCGTCCCCACCGCTCGTTACTACAATTCGAAGCCGTTCACTTGCTGCCACCAAAATATGTGAAGTAGTCTCCAAAAATAAAATAATGGCGTGAAATCCCAACTAAATAGGATCACCACACCAATGTAATGAGAATTTGAGACTTCTAGTTTAAGCTGCCACCCTAATATAAAGAGATATTGGTAATATAATCTCTGTTTCTTCTTATCTGGGTTGTGAGGCCACTTTGGTAGTGTGGATTGTGCAAAACGTTGAAATCAATGGATGAGGCAGGTTTTAAAACACAAAGAGAACAGATTTATTGTCGGAGCGTAACTGTTGCAATATTAACTGTTGAACTTGGCACAAGCTTGATGGTTACAAATATGGCTTAGTTGAGATACATTCAGGTGATGTTACAATTCTTTGACTTCTTCTACAATGAGGTGCTTTAATATTTCAGTTCCCTATTGTGAATATTTACAACTGTTTGTCCTACACAGGATCAAACTAGCGATCTCCAGCCATTCACCACTGGGATCCCTAAACCTCTTTCTTGTTAGATTCTTTCTTTACTCAAGCAATCTAACGAGGTTTCACCTCCAGCTTCCTAGCTGGAATAATATTCACAAATCCTAAGAACTGGCTGAATTTACACTATACCACAGAGCCTCAACTGACTCTGCCCCTCAGGGTTTCATTCCCCTGACTGAACTATTATCCCAGAGTCCCCTTTGACTCTGTCCTTCAGGGTCTCATCCGCCTGACTGATTTTAAACTGTCGTTTTCAAACCTTTCCTACTTAAGCTCCGCCCACCTCCTCTGGCCTATCACCATGGCAACCTATCTCTCTCAGCTAGGTCATGGCTACAATGTAAAGCATAAACACAGTTTAAAACACAGTTATAATAAACACTTCTCTACACACCCATGCAGAAAATGGGACAGGGAAAGCAAAGACTGTTGGGGGTTACTGCTCTTATGGAACTGAAGATAGGAACATTCACCTGACTACAGAAACATGTTTCAGCTACTACCACCCAGAGCAGGAATTATAATGAGAAATAGAACTGCTTTATTGGGAAAGTAGGAAACTGCCATAGATCCCAAACACATGGCAGCAAGGCTGGCCAAACTTGGCAGCAAACTTCTATGTCTGTGTGCAAAAATTGTGCAACTTGATTGCACAGCAAATCTTTGTAGAGACAAAGTCAGCTGCTAGCAAAAAGGTATCCACCCTTCTTGTACATGTGCAAGCAATTCTGTTTCTACCCAGGTGGGTATACAAGCAACATTGCCTTTTGGCTGTTAATAAGCATCTATAAGAGTAAAAAGTGAGACTTGTGGCACCTCAAAGACACATTTATTTGGCATAAAAGTTCATGGACTGCTGAAAGAAGTCAAATAAAACATGCTTGTCATTATGCTGCAACAAGACTCTTGATAGTTATTGCTAAAGTAGACTAATATGGTTACCTTTGTGCAATTTGTTACAATAATGCTTTATGTGAAAGTGAAACTACTGATGCATCTTAGTACTGAAAGCCATAGTTTTTCCTCCTCCAATCCTGTTTATCAGAATTTCATGTGGAGGGACCATTCTGGATGCCAGATTGATAGTATGTTGGTTTTTAGACTAGCAGTTTCTTCTGATATTTTATTTGTGATTTTGCATTATTCTGTACATGCAGTCCCCTTTTTATGAACAAGATAGGTTTGTTCGTAAGTTGAATTTGTATGTACGCCGGATCAGGTACATCTTTATGTGTAACTCTCTCTCTCTGTGTGTATATATATGTGTGTGTGTGTGTGTGTAGAGAGAGAGAGAGAGAGAGAGAGAACTTTGGATAGCATAACAGTTAGCAACCCTGTGGTGTTTATTTTGCTTTCTGTGCCCCTATTTGGAAGGTTTCACCTCACTTTCTTCCCTGTGATAATTCAGTTTTGAAAATTTTGACTTGTGGAAACAAGGATTCATGATAAAGCTTCAGTGGAGATACCTTTATCCCATGATAACTCTTTCAGGAGTCTTGAGGGATAGATTTCTCTCACTTCCTGTTTCACCCCCATTCTTAACTATGGGCCATTTGGAAGTCAGATGTGGGGACACCCTGTGTTGATGAAAAACAGTTTGCATTTGACATTCATCATAGTGTGGCTTGATTTAATAAACTGCAAGTTAGCTGGGACAATAATCCCACAAGGTAGTATTTGGCATAAAATTGTCCATTAATTGATTTTCATTCAAACATACCCCGTGGAAGAGATTTTAGGATTATGAAGATTTTTATATAGTTATTTATTTATTTACTGGAATCTTCAGGTCCACTAAATTCAGTTCTGAAATAGTGGCCCAGAGCAGAGATATCATCAGGATTAAGGAACTGACCAAGAAAAGAGATCTACACCTTTGGTTTTATGAAGTTGTGCTAGGAGTATGATTGACTAGATTTTCCCCTGCTTTTTAATGGAACAATTCAAGTCCAAAGTTATTTTTGCCTGAAAAAACGTAAGATAGGACACAGGGTAGAACTTTTCAAGACTGGCATGAGATGCCTTTCTTCAGGAGTAGATTCTGAATTTTGTGTTTAGATTTGAGTTCTATCTCCAAAATACCTCAGATATTCCAAGCTTTTAAACAAAAATCTGAAATCTAAACACTTCTTATCCCAAACATTAAACTTTTATTTCCAGCTTAGAATGATCAAAATCTTTTTGACTACAGTGCCCAATATATTTTTCCAGCCATGCTTATTAAAGCTTATAAATATCTGAGGCCATCAGATTCAGGGAAGCTTTTTAGTGTGATGTCGGTTTCATTGTTGTACTGAATGAACTGTAGATGGTAATGTATTGTTTATTATTCAGGTGGTATTGGTGTTCAGGGGTGTGTGTGCTAGAATTACATTCAGTGATGGCTTCATTCGGCTGTCTTTATACTTACAGAAAATGCTTGAAGATCAGAACCACTGGGAAGTCTGTTGATTGCTATTTCCTGAGTGTCTTGAAGACATAACATCCATCAGGCATGGCGCAGGGCAGCCTGCAGCTTGATATGCAAGTACTCCATGACCTACGGCAACGTTTCCCTGAGATTCCAGAAGGCGTGGTATCTCAGTGCATGCTCCAGGTAAGTGTCAAGAGAAACAGTAATGATTTCTTTTGAAAAAGTTCAAATCCAAAATTTAACAATCTGGTAAAATTAGACCATAACCTTTTCCTTTTTGTTTCTGAAAAATAAAGACTTTTTTTGTAGGCGTCCGAGAGTGAGAATTAAAATGAATATTTACTCTAAGACCATTACTGTAAGCATCTTATGACTGCACTTCATTTTAGATTGCCATTTCTTTAAAACTCAAACTTTAATTTTCAAGGATCAATACTTCTGAAAATATGCTGCTTCGTAGTGTGGTGCCATATACTGTGGTGGAGTTTTCTTCTCTGAAGTCTTTTAAAACAAAGACTGAATGCGAGAGCTTTGACTGTATTCCTGAATGATAGGTGATTGGAGTGGATACCCCTTGTGATATTTTCCAGCTCTATAAATTATTCCAGAATCTTCCAGATTCTATAAATACCAGTTAGTAGAATTAAAATGATCGTATATGCTTAGTTGAATAAAAAACCTGCCTTTGTACCAAAAAACACCAGATTTACTTAATAATAGAAATTTCTTAAGTTTTCCACTGGCTTCTGAAAACATTGCACATAATTTTTTTACTGACGTGTTAAAACAAATAAAAGTGAACTACTGATGAAGTAAATATTAAACATTGTGAAACTGTAGATTAAAACCTTCAGCTTGCTGTTATTCTGCACATGCAAACGAGATAAATGCCTGTGAGTAGAACAATGAAAACGCGTATGACGCTATTGTATTTTTCTGATAGGAAAGCTCTTTTAAGATTAAGCCTCTTATGATATGAGTATTTATCATCTGGACAGATGTCATATCCCTTCTATTCAGATGCAAATTAATGCAGTTTTACCCAATGAGATCAACCAAGGCTTTTTAAATCTGGTGACAGCTCTTGCTGAAATATGACACAAGCATATCTTAGTAAATGAAATAGTGGTGTTCATAAGCATTTCTTCTTTATGAAAAAAGTTGGTACCAAAGACAGAAATACCATGGGAAAAATAGGAATAGGTTTTCATGCAACAGAAAATAAAATAATAATTAAACTTTCTTTATATTCTGCTCTATCTCCCCGAAGTGACTCAGGGTGGATTCCAAACATAAAAGGCAAACATTGAATGCCTGAATACAACAACAGTACATCCATGCTAACAAAATTTAAACAACCCAACATATAAAAACGAATTATATCTTAACAAACAAAAAGTAAATAAAAAACACAGCCTGTTATAACAGACATAAGACAAAACATCAAACATTGAATGGAAACAATAATTTCCCATTTCTTTGGGGCAAATCGATTAATCATTGCTCAATATATCTATTGAGCTGGTGGGGTGAGCAGGGCATGCATACAGATGGCAACTATTAATCAGAGGTATAATGGTAGTATTACCAACTACTATTCCTCCTCCTCATAAGCTAGTGAGCAAAGGTATGTCTTCAGCTGTTTCTTGAAAGTGGGGAGGGAGGGGCCATCTTTAACTGAATAACTCGGAACTATGTCTGTTCTTGTTTTTATTGTATTTTAAAGTAAATTGTATTGTTTTAATCTACTGCTGTAAACCGCTCCGAGCCAAATTGGGAGTAGCGGTATACAAGTCAAATAAATAAATAAAAATAATAATAATAATAATAATAATAATAATAATAACTCCTTTGGAAGGGAGTTCCAGAGGTAGGGGACAGCCACGGAGAAGGCCCTTTCTCTCGTTCCCACCAGCCGTGCTTGGGACGGGGGTGGAACTGAGAGGAAGACCTCCTCTGATGATCACAGTGTCCGAGTTGATCTATTGAGGGAGATGCGGTTTGTCAAACAGTCTGGACCTAAGCTGTTTAGGGCCTTAAAGGCAAGAACAAGTAATTTTCAGCAAGCTTTATTTAGAATGAATAATGCACATGTCGAATGAAACAGTGAAACAGCGCTTAAGGAACATGTTGGGATAAGTGACAAGGCAAGCTAATCTGCTTTCTCTTTTCTCTCCCTCTGTTATGCCATTCACACATTTTCATTTTTAAAATATAATCTTTATTTAATGTTTTCATAATACATAGTAATTTAAAAAAAAGATTTGTTGCAAGATTTAAAATCCAAAAAAGATAGAAATTCAAAGTAGAAGAAGAGAGGAAAAGAGAGCAGAAAACTAGAAGAAAGAGAAGAAAAGAGAAAAAAAATAGGGAAATACAAGCTGAAAATAAAATTAAAAAACAACAACAAACAAACAAAACACAAACTAAAAAACTACAGTTCTCTTTTTCTTCGGACCGACTTCCGGGAAACTTCGAGGAGGGTATCTTCCTTTTCCTTCTTTTGTGGATTTTCCTACCTTTTCTCTATCGTTTTTTCCCCCTTATGTTTGGAATTTATGGGGCGGTTCTGTAATTATTCATATCCTACTTTTTATTTCTTAGGGTTTAATCATTTATCAATGTTCAGTCTGTCTTTTTTTCTATTATCCCTTTATATTTTTGTAATAGATTGCTTAGCCTGTCCATGTTTCTTACATCCATAATTTTCCTTTTCCAGTCATCAGTTGTGGGTATTTCTTTTTTTCGCCATAATCTCGCATAACAAATTCTAGCAGCGGTTGTGGAAAGGAATAAAAGTTTGTCTATATTACTCTCAATTTTTTGGTCTGAAATTCCCAGTAGAAATATTTTGGGTTTGAGTGGTATATTAATCTTCAATATTTTTTGTAGATTTTCATATATTACTTTCCAGTAGCTTTTTGCTTTCTTGCACTGCCACGACATATTATAGAAGGTTCCTTCTACTTCTCCACATTTCCCGCATTTTGAGTTTATATTCTTATAGTACCTCCCTAATTTATGTGGTGTCATGTGCCATCTATAGAACATTTTTGTCCAATTTTCTTTTAGATCATAGGCACGCGTATATTTCAATTTGTTATTCCATATGATCTCCCATTCATCTAATCCTATAGATCTTCCAATATTCTTTGCCCATTTTATCATACACTCTTTAATTCCTTCTTCTTCTGTGCTCCATATCAGTAATTTTTAATATATTATCGATATTGTTTTCTTTTCTGTCCTCATTATTCTATCCCAGCTGTTTTCTTCTATCATAAATCCTATTTTTTTATCTTTGATAAAATGTTCTTGAATCTGTCTGTATTGAAACCAGGTCATGTTTGGATATGAATTTTTTATTTCCTGTTTTGTTTTTAGAATTATTTCTTCACCTTCTTTTTTATTATTTCTTTATAATGGGGCCAGATTATCCAATCAAATTATCTTCTTTGGCAGGCTTCTAGCGGGGAGACCCTTACATTTTCAGGAAGGGTTTCAGGAGGCAGCTGCTCCTTACCTTGCCTGGCTCACACAGCTACAGTAGGATCACCTAGAGTAGAATCCCATTCTTTCCTAACTCATGTTACTCAGTTGGCAAACACATTGCTGCAACCTGTTATTGAAAATCTTACATTTCTCCAGCCACCCTTCACCATTCTCCCGATGCTGGTGCTGCTAAAAGCTTCCATATAGACAGAGGATAAGAAAGAAAATGAGAGGATATTTAAAAAGCTTTGAAAAAAGTAACTTGTTAGAGCCTTTAACTGTAGTATGCTTCAACCTAATACTTCTTAATACTCAACTGTTAGGAGCTTGATGTATAGGTACATATTTTACAGTGAAGATTTTGGGAGTCATTTACATAACTTAAAACACTTAACTTGCTATTTTTTTATTTCTAGAATAACAACAATCTTGATGCTTGTTGTCGAGTTCTTGCACAAGAGAGTAACAAATACCTGTATATGGAGTACCATAGCCCAGATGACACCCGAATGAACAAGAACCGCCTACTGCATATTAACCTAGGCATTCATCCTCATGCCAGTTATCATGGAGGGGATGGAGCTCAACTTAACGGTGGCCGTACACTGGTACACAGTTCAAGTGATGGACATATTGATCCACAACGCACAGGAGGTAAACAGCTAATATGTTTAGTGCAAGAACCACATTCTGCTCCAGCCGTTGTGGCAGCTTCTCCCAACTACAATCCATTTTTTATGAATGACCAGAATAGAAATGCAGCTACACCTCCTCCACAACCACCTCAGCAACCTTCTTCCATGCAACCTGGAATGAGTACATCTGCTATGCAAGGCCCTCCTCCTCCTCCTACATATATGCACATACCTCGGTACAGCACAAATCCTATAACTGTTACAGTGTCCCAAAACCTCCCTTCTGGACAGACTGTACCCAGAGCTTTACAAATTCTTCCCCCAATTCCAAGCAATCCTTATGGGAATCCTGGCTCTCTCTACATAAGACAGACGTCTCAAAGTTCATCAGGCCGACAGACTCCGACTCAAAGTGCACAGTGGCATCATTCATCGCCACAAGGTCCAGTTCCACATTACAGTCCGCATCCACTACCTGTCTACCCACACCAACAGAATTATCAGCCGTCTCAGTATTCGCCAAAACAGCCCCAGATTCCTCAGTCCCCTTTTCGATCGCCACCTACTTCTCAATGTCCTTCCCCTTTTGGCTCACCTCAGCATCAAGTTCAGCCGACCCAACTAGGCCATCAGAGTTCCCATGTGTTTATGCCTCCCAGTCCTTCAGCTGTTCTACCCCATCCATATCAACAAACCCCCCAAACTTATCAAAAGCCAGGTGGACACTCAGTATCTTATCTCCCATATGGCGGACCTAGTTTATCTAAAGGCTCAATGAACAAGATAGAAATTACGGTTGAGCCACCACAAAGACCTGGGACTGCAATGAATAGGAGCCCTTCACCTATAGGTAGCCAACCGTCCCAAAGGAATCAGCATCCACTGTATGCACCTGGTACGCCTCCTTCCAGTTCTCCTTCCAGAAGTATGTCAGGCCAACCAAAACCTCCCTATAGTGTTAATCCTGTATATATAACGTACACACAGCCAACTGGATCTCCAGGTGTACTTACACAGTCCCCCCGAGTCATGGTATCTCAGCCAAATCCAGCAGTTTTTAAAATCACTGTAGGCCGTGCACCAGCTGAGAACCTTTTAAATTTAGTGGACCAAGAAGAGCGTTCTGCAGCACCAGAACCTATTCAGCCCATTTCGGTTGTACCAGGATCTGGAGGTGAAAGAGGAAGCCATAAGTACCAGAGGAGTTCCAGTTCTGGATCTGATGACTATGCTTATACTCAAGGTAAGTTAATTGTCTTTCAGAAAATCTATTTTTCTTTTTTAAAAACTAAGAAAAAATGGTCCAGCTGTATTGGTTAGATTCTTGTTACTTTAAACTTCGAATAGTCTTCCAGATTCATAAAGCAGTCTGAAGAACCATACTCTATTTATTTATTCTGGATTAGTTAATAAATGTTGAACTTTTTGTTACATGAGAGAATCTGGAAGAAATATGCACTACTTCAGTTTACTATAGCAACAAAGAAGCATCTGCTTTTGCTGTGTGATGTCACAACAAATTGTACGGATGCCATACATTGACCAGAGTTTTTTTGCATTGCTACACTGGGTGGATTATGCTTACCATGAAAGAAAAAAAATACTAAGCATGCTAGCATCAACTACTTGCTTTAATGATGCTGATGCTTGGTCATACTGATATGTATTGTCAAAATGAATTGTTAAATTTATTGGATGGAAATCAGTGACACACTTTTTAAAGGAAACAAATATTATGAGGTATTTATTTATCGTGTCAGGGGCAGACCAAACAGTTGCATTGCATTTTTTAACAAACAAACAAACAAAACACAAAGTTTGCAAGCTTGGTGGTAGATTTAATGTCCTTTGACCAGTAGCTGGCCACTTGGAGTGCCTCTGATGTTGCTGCAAGAAGGTCCTCCATTGTGCATGTGACAGGGCTCAGGTTGCATTGCAGCAGGTGGTCTGTAGTTTGCTCTTCTCCACACTCGCATGTCGTGGATTCCACTTTGTAGCCCCATTTCTTGAGGTTGGCTCTGCATCTTGTGGTGCCAGAGCGCAGTCTGTTCAGCGCCTTCCAAGTTGCCCAGTTTTCTGTGTGCCCAGGGGGGAGTCTCTCACTTGGTATCAGCCATTCATTGAGGTTCTGGGTTTGAGCCTGCCACTTTGCGACTCTCACTTGCTGAGGTGTTCCAGTGAGAGTCCATGTAGATCTTAGAAAGCTATTTCTTGATTTAAGTCGTTGACATGCTGGCTGATATCTAAACAGGGGATGAGCTGGAGATGTCATTGCCTTGGTCCTTTCACTATTGGTTGCTACTTCCCGGCGGATGTTATGTGGTGCAATACCGGCTAAACAGTGTAATTTCTCCAGTGGTGTAGGGCGCAGACACCCCGTGATAATGCGGAATGTTTCATTAAGAGCCACATCTACTGTTTTAGTGTGGTGAGATGTGTTCCACACTGGGCATGCATACTCAGCAACAGAGTAGCATAGCACAAGGGCAGATGTCTTCACAGTGTCTGGTTGTGATCCCCAGGTTGTGCCAGTCAGCTTTCGAATGATATTATTTCTAGCACCCACTTTTTGCTTGATATTCAGGCAGCTCTTCTTGTAGGTCAGGGCACGGTCCAGAGTGACTCCCAGATATTTGGGTGTGCTGCAATGCTCCAGTGGGATTCCTTCCCAGGTAATCCTCAGAGCTCGGAATGCTTGTCTGTTCTTGAGGTGAAAAGCACATGCCTGTGTTTTAGATGGATTAGGGATCAGCTGGTTTTCCCTGTAATAGGCAATAAGAGTACCTAGAGCTTCGGAGCTTCTGTTCAACTATCTCAAAGCTCCCTGCTTAGGCGTTAATGGCACGTTCATCTGCATAGATGAAACTCTCTGTCCCTTCTGGCAGTGGCTGGTCATTTGTGTAAATGTTGAACATGGATAGAGCAAGCACGCTCCCTTGGGGCAGGCCATTCTTCTGTTTCCACCATCTGCTTCTCTGGCCCTGGAACTCAAGAAAAAACTTCTGTTTTGTAGCAGGTTTCCTATGAGGCGGGTGAGGTGGTAGTCCTTTGTGATATTATACATTTGAGGTTAAATAATTGAAGATGGATGGATGGCATCCTTGAAGTGACTGGACTGACCTTGAAGGAGCTGGGGGTGGTGACGGCCGACAGGGAGCTCTGGCGTGGGCTGGTCCATGAGGTCACGAAGAGTCAGAGACGACTGAACGAATGAACAACAACAATTGAAGTGTCTCTTGTTCACTTAATTATTTAATTTTGAGATTTCTCACGAGTATTTCATATACACCTGCAGACATCTTTAAAGAAATTGGGTGTATTAGAAAAACACACAGTAGTTGCCTCATTATGGTAACATACAGAGGAAGAGTACATCTATAATAAACCTGTTTAAAATGTTTAACTGGATAATAACTTACATTTCATAGGAGAGATTGGTTGGAAGTAGTGTTTGTGTCTATCCAAACAAAAGGAGAAGAATGAATCTGCATTGTCAATAAACCTAGGCT